GGTGGAATTTTAGAAGTTGTTTAACTTTTATGACAACTTTTGGACGGTTTTGTCTGATAAGATATGTGAATATTTACGAGGAAATCACGGCACTTTTTATCAATGAACTTAGGGTTTGTTTACATTGGATTTCGGGTTGTAAACACAACGGTTCAAAGTGAGTTGTTTTATTATTTCTGTATAATTTATTCACAAGTAAGAAAGTAAGAAGTTGGAGAATTTGTTGAGGATTACGTTTAAGCCTTTTGAGTATCGTTTTGTTCACATAATATGTGAGAAATTAAGGGGAATCTTTTATGAATTAGTTGCCCACTGTAAGCTTCAGGGAAAGTGGGCGTGGCCAAAACTAGTAGTGAGTAATGATGACGTAACAGTCTGGCGCGCACTTCAAATAGTATAAATGGGGCAGATTTTCAGTGATTGGGGCTGTTTTGGTTGATGTTGGTCCATGGTGCCGGACCGGGTTTTGAAATTTTGAAATCACCGGGTTTTGAAATTGGGGAGCTACTGAATAGAGTTGAATAAGGAAACATTAGTAGCATCCAGCACTAGTGACATTGAAACAGTTTTGAGTGGGGAGCATTTTAATTGGGAGCTGTGATTGGGGAGAACTTGGACCGGCCGGGAAGCTTGTCATTGCCAGGATTCGGAGAGCTTGCTGTTGCTCGAGGGGAGCACTCACTGAGTCGCTGTAAGTTCAATTCAACTATTGTTACCTATGAAACCTATTGAAATACTGACAGTAGAGTCACTGAATCGATTTATTTGGAGTTAGACTACAGAGGCTGAGTTCCTCCTAGAGTATTTACAGTAAAATAGGCCTGGGGCCTAAGTTATTGACACTGGCCTGGGACTAGTGATATATTGTTTAGAAGAGGCCTGGGGCCTGAGTTATTTATTTTGAGATTGGCCTTGGGGTCAAAGTGTTTAGTGAGCTGGCCTGGAGTCAGAATTATTAATTGAGCCTTGGTGTATTTTATCCAGAAGATAATCTACTTACAGCTCTGATGGAAGTTGAGTAATCATTTTCGTAATCTACTTACAGCTCTGATGGAAGTTGAGTAATCATTTTTGTAAGACTTTGGAGGCTTAAATGAAGCTTTATCTTAAGTCAATTAATTATTGAACAAGTTTAAACAATACTGTACCAGGGTAGGCGATACCTGGTCGCTAGGTACCTTGTGTGGGAACTTACATTTATTAACCCCCCCCCTTCCTATTCTCCCTTGGTGTATTGAGAACTCGTCAAGCTTTGATTAATTTGGTCTTGCAAATTAATTCTAGTCTGTAAATTGGGAAACTGAGGACTGTAAATACTGAATGTAAATGGAGCTGCTGACAGAAATGAACGTGTTGTTTATGCAATTAAAGAATTGTTCCACCTCTGTTCTGAATTACTGGTGTCCCTGCATGTATTATTTGCATTTCATTTTTCCCTGCACCTGATTCTTCTCCTGAAGTAACTTTGTCATATAGTTTGACCCGGATCCACGCCAGGCAACACGATTTGCTAAAACAGAGAGGCAGAACTCCGGAGGTTTAGGCCTTAACTATTCTGCCTGGTGGCAGCGCTATCGTAGCAAGGTTTTGCAAGGAAATCTCAGAATCCCCCCCTCGTTTTCTGCTACAGTATTGTTTACTTACTTTACAGTATTAAAGATATTTAAGGATAATTCAAAGTGGACAGTTCCACTTTTGAGATTCAACAAATCATGCACACTGCCTTTAATTGTCCAACTTTTAATCAGAGTAATAGCCATTACTGCAAAATTTGCATAAATGCAAATTAAATTTTTTGGCTGTAAATTGGTTGTTTAGTCAATGTAAATTTGCTCTGGAAAAAATTGCTAGACCGCTAATGTCTTTGTCACATTCATGGGTATATCAAAGCAATTTTACAGCATATGCAAAATTACTGGAAAACTGAGTTTAGAACTTCACAATGGTAACAATTCATCCATTTAATGCCTAAATCTCATTTCAGCGGTGTCAGTAGCCTTCTTTTGTGATTATTTTTTCAAACCAATGGTATCAGCACAGTATCCAAATGTCATTTAAATTAGGCAAACATCATTAAAAATCACTCTGAAACACTGTGATTTTTTTACTCATACCATATGTAAAGCAGTAACGGCTTTCTACTACNGTGGGATGACTGCTGTCTCATTTGTTCGTGCCAAAAAATTGATGATTGACCTCCAACCATGTTCAAAAGGTGTGGGAAAGTTCAATTAGTGTGAGATGTTCATCACAGACAGTCTTTCACAGACTCCTTGATTAAAATTGAAGTGAAATGAAGTGAAACAGTCTTACCTCTCCGATTGGGAGTAAAATTGGTTTGGGTTTCTGACATTCTACCAACTGGGCAGATGGCTTTTTGATGAAAGACACAATTAATCTCCAGAAGGCATCCCCTTCAGTGTCTCCTACAAACAGAATAAAGTTATTTGGTTTTATCCTTGATTACCTTGTTGCAAGGAAGAATTACCATAAAACTAATCCCCTTACAATAAAAGGATCTAGTCTGCATGCTACTTCAGTCCCACTGAGAAAAACCAGATGCTCATTTCAGATCACAGCAGATGGAAAAGCTGCTTCTGACAGACGAAACAGTTAATCAAAGTTGCTTAGTACTTTGCCTTGTTTTACTGAGCAGAAATACGGGGCATGCTTAGTTATAAAATAACAGAAGATAAAACACTTGATATTTATCAGGAACAAGGGTAAGCACACAAACAACTTTCCATCATACTGGTTGTACAGACATACCTTATTTGAAGTTGAATGCTCCTGGTCCATCGGTGGTCCCCGCAGCAAAGCTGAATCCCATGGCTGCTTTGCAAGTCTTTCCCTGTGTGATCAATCATTTCATTCACAATATCAACAAACCATTGTCTGATCATGCATGATTTCACAATCTGAGAGTACTGACAGAGAAACTTCGTCGGGAAATTGCACTGATAGGTTCAAGTTGCAACTGTGCCATTCTCCTAATCCTAAACCCCTTCCAATCAAAAATATGCAAAGTTTAACCCTTAAAGAGCCGGGTTAATATTTTTGCTCATCTCACAGCTGGGGGGGTGGATTCTCCACCCTCCCAAGAACTGGGCTGTGCCACGCTCGAATTATTTTACTTGGCAAGCATGTAAAGACACTCCTTATCATTAAAAATATGCACAAATATGAAGTATGAACTCAATCAAACATATGGTTTTGTTGTGACAGTCATCTGAAGTTGGAGGCTCCATGTGTACCGGCTTGTGTGGAAAGTGGAAAGAGTAAACACATGTTTGACTGATCTGTCTCGAAAAAATGCATGCTTTGCAAGAATAGAATGTTCAATTTCCACAAAATTGGTGTCAAAATGAGAGCAAAGCATTAGTCTAATAACTCCTGAAAAAAAATGCACTGCAGTGATATCCCAAAATATGTGGGGGGATTTTCCCTCACCCCCCCCTAAATTAGGGTTAAACTGTTCCATCAGCAAAAGGCAAACACCAAGATTGACATTTACATGTATATCCAATAGTGCAACTAAAATTACATGACAAGGACTCTTTGTACTTAAATACACCAAATGACATCTTGTTATAAAAAAACAACCATAGAACGTCAATCAATGAAGTTTCAATAAAGCTTTTTTCCATTCCTGTTTTCCATTTGAATAAATAATATCTTCCCCAAACTTGCATTGAGTTGATTACCACAGAAAAGTGTTGTCATCAGAAAACCCAAGTGAAAAAATCCAAAATTTCTGTGGCATGTCATGCTGAACATGATTGGCGAAAAGATGAAAGATCTGCCACACAAAGGTATACCATTAAACATGTCGAAGCGGTTAATTTTTAAAGGAACCAGGAAATGAATTTTTCTTGGAATCACCTTTTGGGTATCTCTGTACTGTTCTTCTATGTATGAAAACTGTTTGACATCTATTTTGAGTTACGTGAACTGAACGGTGCACTTTTCAGAACATTAAAAATTGACCAAGCATTTCTGGAAAAGTGAGGGCGCTTTTGCTTTGATGTAACTCCAGGAAGACATGGTTCAGGTTGCATATTTTCATGCTCAAATTGTGAATCCAAAATTTACTATCTGGGAAAATTTTGCAAAAAGGATTTTTGCTGGATTAATGCCATATACTTACACAGCAATAAATTGCCAAAGAAAATGAAGTCTGCCATAGCATATTTCATGTATGTATTTCGGGACTCCATGAATCGGGGAATTACGTTAATAACTCAAAATCCAGACAACTCAAATTTTTATTTATTCACTGAGGTTTGAGTTTTCAGATGTAAACGGCAACCAATGAAAACATGACTGTGCTACCTGCACGTGGTATGCGTAGCCCAGGCACGGCTTTTGTGACTGATTTTATCCTTCAAAGTTTGCGGTATAAGCCGCCCAGCGTATAAGCGGCAGAGACGTTTTTCAGTGTGAGAATCAATGTACAAGCCGCAGATTATATTCTGAAAATTAGAGTAAAATCAAAAAATTATCAAAGATTGAGATTTTTGCGCTCAAGGTCCCCCAGGGACAGCTGGCATTATTCATTAGCCAATTTATAACTTAGAATTGCTAAACTAGACATGATTTTTCATTAGTTTACAGACCCAGAATGTACTGTTGTATATCACAGTCTGGTTGGTCATGTCGAGATACTGGTGAACAGTACTAACTGGCCCACTGAGCATCTTAGTGGCACTCTTGTACAGGTCCTGTGAAAAGGGTTGAGAAGTCATTGATAATGGTATTGAGACGACAAACATTGTAAGTTTGAATTTGTCAACGAAGGCAAACAAACAATAAAAATGATCTCACTGAATGGAATAGTAGTAGTTGAATGCTGTGACGATTCTATTTAAAGTGGATGAACTCACCAATAGATGCGCAGCACTACTTGTGTGCGTAATTAGAAGGCACTGGATATTTAGCCATTGCTGGCAAATTTAACGAAATAATAGTTTGTTAGGCACAGTAAGTTATGGACTTAGAAATTCTTACAGCGACAAATCTTTGACTGGTTCTAGCTGTGCCAACATACAGTGTGTACTTGTGACTTCATATTCATGAGCCCGTTTTATAATTTCGGACGTTTTTCCCTTAAAAAAATCACCTTGCTTCACGAATCAAAAAATGAAAATGTAGTACTCTGTAATTGAATGTTGGAGTCGATTCAAAATAACAAAGAAGGACATTCTTATTTTTTGGGTCAAAAATAGGACAAGTTAATGAATATATACTTAAGAGAGCACTGTCTACTTGTAGCCGGCAAAAACTGCAGTAAATTTGCTGGTGATGGCTAAATATTCATTGTTTAATTATAAACATGACTTTGGACCAGTGGTCTTCTGACTTGCAGAAAATTGTGTCACCATGCTGTAAAGAATCCGACTTCTAGCCAGAGGATACCTGGCAAGATATGGGATCAAGGGATATCCAAACCCTTTGATGTCCAAACCCAATGGACACTCTAGACTGTTATTACCTAACACATCCTACTAGATGTCTGAAAAGAATTCATGAGATTCCAGTCAAACATTGACCAACACAAAAGGGGGGCAGGGGTTCTCTCCGTCCAACATCTTGCTTCAAAACGTACCAATGCTTTCTTGTACTGGTATTCTCCAATGATCCTGGTGCTGTCAAACATGTCAACTCCTGGCCCAAATGCAATGCATTTCTCATTCTGATGGGACAACAAAACAAAGACAGAAATTCTGACATTGTGAGCTGCATACAAGTACATGCGAAAGAGTTGGAAGTGTGCTGGTCGTCCTGTTTATTGTATGCTTTTCTTTTGTTTTAAAGCTTCACTAATGCCAAATAAATACAACACAGACCACTTGTTTTATAGAGACAAAATGACATGAGATATGAAAGGGGGATACCCTATCCAAATAGGATACCCAAATATCCAAATAGTTGATCGATTATCAAATATTTGAATGTTATATTCCGAATTTGAATATTCAAATGTAAAATTCATGAAAAGGAAGGGAGAAATTTCATTTTAAATAAGAAAAATTGTACTATGGAGGCTTGTTTCACAAAGATTCAAATGAAAAGTGACAGAAATCTGACCATGACTCAGATATTAAATTATTCAGTGGCCCTAACAGTCCAAAATTCTCTGATCTCAATATTATTTTTACATACACCGTGGGGGATTAATGGTAAAAAAAATTAAAAGGAGTAGAAATATTTAACATAGCAAGAAGTATTCTTTATCTCTTAAATCTTGCTAAATCGTGGCTGGAAATACTCGCAGATGTGAGAAGCTATTCTAGCGATTATATTGTACAATTTTGTGCATTATTGCAACTGATTCCGTATATGGTTTAATCATCAACAAACTGCTGGTTGGTATGACTGAATATTCAGATATTCTATCAACTTGAGGGTCGAATATTCAAATAGTGGATTATTTGAATTGAGGTGATATTCAATCATGCAAAAATTCTGACCTCACAAACTTTTTTGATGCATAATATCAACCTGTACCAGCTCCCTTTGCTTCGGAATACAGGGTTATTGGGAGTGATATTTCTGAACAGCTGACAATATTGTATTCCACTTTCAAATTGCTGATATGAAAAGCAGAAATGCTACATGTAGGTTTCTGACAAAGACAACTGTAAACCTAAAGTGTGGGGCTAAATTTCTTATTTAATGAGAAAGAAATCTTTAAATTTTTTCAGTACCTTGCCATCACATGTGCTTGTATCATAGTCACATGGCTTTCCAGTGTCAATGCATTTGGCGCCTTTGGTGTTTGGAGAGACATCTCCAAGATTTGATGAAGCAAAAGCGGCAACAAATTTCCCCTGAATAAAAGAATTGCATCATGAAAAAAATTGTAGAGAGGAACTGTACATAAACACTAAATGATAAGTGCCATTGTTTCAGCTCAAGCACAGTTCTAGAGTATGTCCTATTTATGCAAATGTTGCCACTGTTTCACAACAAGTATGTGCAGAAAGATTGTGACATACACTGGCAAAATTTACATTGGTGGAAGCACCCAAAAGTATTTAGTGTAAACTAATCTGTAATTCTTAGAAATTTTACTAGTCTTCTAAGAATTGCAGAACAGTTTACACTTTTTTTAAAAAAAACATCAGCAACTTCTACATGTATGACAAATCATTTAGCATCTTTAAGGGGACTTACATGTATGTACACGTGTTTTCATGAACAAATGGTTTATATCTTGCAAAAGAGATTTCTTGTCTCTCACAAGCAAGGATTTCCTTTTTATCAAACTCTTCAAAAATGATATCTTATTATTTTAATCACCCACCTTGCCAGGTCTAGCATCTTTATTGAAGTAACTCTCCATCAACTGGGAAGCATATCCTTTGTTATCTCCGCTAATGAGGTGGTTTGTATTGTTCATGCTTGTACCATGGACTGCAAACCAACTGCAACAAAGTAACCAATTCATTCCAACCAGTCAATTTCAAAGATATACTCTACATGTAGTTGCCATCTTCTCAATGCACATGTACTTGTCATACATAAATAATATGGGCCCACATACATGCGAATATGTATATAGTTCCTCAATGATGACGACACGGACCATTGGAAGCCACTTGGCCTAATGCATACTAGCCTGCAGATTTTACAAAGGGTAAGCAATGACCTGAGTACAAGCCCATTTCAAATGTTCCTGAAGTCATACATGTACTCACTTTATCATGCCAAGGTCTGCGCCATTCTTGTCCACTAATTTGAGGACAGTCATCAGTTTATCCACATTGGTTGTATATCTGCAGAACAGGAACAAGGGAAACTTGTTTCTAGTGGTGTGCATTTATGGATAGTATGGGAACCGGGTAACTGGCAGGTACCCATAATAATTAAAATAATAACAAAAACCATGTCAGTCAAGTCTAATGAAAACCCTTGGGTCATGGAGTCATACCAGGCCTTCAAATGACAACATATGTAATCGCAATCAACTCACTCTGTTGTGATATATTTTTGCAGTTATTTCCTCCTTCTATAAATACTAATGGTGTATAGTTTGCTCATAGACTCATCTTTTTCTTAGGTTTTATGTTGTGAACTTGTTACCTAAAGTTTCTTTTTTTTTCATATAAAAGTAATACATGTACATTACTTAAATGTTGTATATGTACCTTCAAGGGGTAAACTTTCATGTCATTTGGTCTATTGTCAAAACAGCGTGACAAGCAGTGCATAGTCGGGGCCTCTTTTCACTTGGGCTTTCTTAGTATGCAGGCATGCAACAAAAAACAAGGAAATTCCAATCTTTACAAGACTTTGTACAGTGTTTTCAATTTTCAATGGTACATTGTATGAGTGTGGAATGAAAAATGAAGTAATCAGCAGATCCAAGGAAAGGTTGCATGCCTGGTACGTGGAGTCACATGACTTTTCATGGAACTAGTCAGTTCAAGCAATACCTCGAGGAGAAACATGACCCTTTTAATTGTTTCCTCCAGTTACTCACACAAGAGTTTGAAGAAAGCAGATTTCATGGAGGTGAGGTTGACAAGTACATGTATTTGAAATTTGAAAGTGTGTGACATCAACTTCATAAGGTTTCCATATCTCAACAAAGAAAAGTTAACATCCCACTCAATATCTTTTTTCACTTGAAACAGCACAACACACAGGTTCAGTTGGGCATAAAGAATCTGAAGTCTTCTGCTAAACACCAGACACACTGTACACATCCACATTGATACAGGTGCTCCTGACTTACTT